GGCGTATCCTGCCTGGCAGCCGCTGGTTTCCAATTCTAGATCAAAAAGTCAACCCAAAAATGCAGGAAGAGGGGAGAAAAAAATTAAGGAAAAAATTGTCTATTTATAATTCACACTACATTCGTCCATCATGAAATAAGGCCCGAAATAATTACTAGTCTGAGTCCTATATACCTCACATGTTGCTGCTGTCGGAACAAATCTGTTGTTATCTAATAAACAAACATCTATGCAATGCCCTGGCCAAAGATTATGAAAATCCATGCATTTTCAGATGAGCAGTGCGGCATTCTGCAAACACTATAATACATCAGAAAACTGCAGAATTTCAGACAGAAATTTAAAAGCACATGAATTTTGAATTCCACCCAACAATTTTATTTTTGAACATAAATGCATTCTGTAAAAAGATGAGATAAATTCAATATAAATCAAACACGAAAATACTTTAAAACAGTAATCATGATGCAATATTAGACTTTTTAACACTTTCATCGAAAACCACTCAGTTTTTCTCTGTTAACGTAGTTTCAAGTGCTGTGGTCGGATCTAAGATGTTGAAACATGCAGTGCCTATCAGTTTTAAAATATCTCCTATATAGCTGTATTTCCATAGGATAAGTAAGTTGAAATAATCTGATTATGTAACACTACAACAGCTTTTTCATCCCACCCCCCAGTATGGAATCGGATAATTTAAAATATCGGATATTTTTTTGACTACTTCTGGTTTTTACATCATTGTCGGGATAGTTTTAACAAGTTGTTTGGATATTTAACTTTCTGTACCTAAAGTTTCAGAAACATCCATTGGCCTGTTTTCAAAACAAAGAAAAATAGAAGAGCATTTTCAGTAATTTAAGGATTTTTCAACTTTTTTCCAAGATTGAGGCTCTTTTTGGACCACTTATATTATTTTTGGACTCACGCCATAGTCCACCGATAGGACTCTGAGTAAAAGAAGTTTAAGAAAAATCGCAGTTTTCGTTTTCGAGAAAATGGCGTCTCAAAATGCTCCAAAACGGAAAATACTAGATTTTCAGCGTACCATAATTTATTTTCTAGCCATCTAAATCGTATCTTTCAGATGTCATATGATAGTCCATTAATGGGGCTATCCAGCGATACTTTAGTTCTTTTGTTCTGCTAACATCTGATGGAGAAATCAAGTTTTTCGCAAGACTGCTATTTTTTTCAACCTTTTTTCTTCATTTTTTGCATACTTCCGGTATAGAGATTATTGTCGGGATAATTTTAATAACCGGATTGGCTTATCAAATAGCCACAGGGCTATGTAATGATATATTACATTGTCTGATCAAATAAAATGCCCCTGGGAAATCCTATGTTCAATAGTGCCAAAAATGCAAAAATGTCAATATATCAAAAATTAAATTTAAATATTTCAATACATATTATACATGGTTAGAATCGTAATTAGGTCAGCTATCTGAATGTGTAACTTTTTTGTAAAAATTTGTTTAAATAATAAAGTAATAGAGCATTTTCTAAAATTTCACGATTTTTCAACTTTTTTCGATTTTCAGTACGTTATTTTACCTATTCCAGAAACTTCAATGTCTTATTGGGTGGATTCATGCACACGACTACCGGAGGGTCTCTCGATAGGGAAAGTTTAAGAAAAATCCTTGGAGTAGTTGGACTATAACTTCATTTTCCAGAAATTTCAGAAACGTTGATTCGGCCATAAAACGAAACTGGAATCGGATTGCCTTCAGGTATCCAAAAATGTAGGTCAAATTTGAAAATTTTGAAAAATTACAAAAATTGTCTCCTAAACAACGTATTTTCAAATTTCGAACGACAAAAGCCATAGATGAATGTTCGAAATTGAAAAATGTGAGAGCCATTGTCTCGGAAAAAATTCAGGGTTTCCAAAAATGTGAATTGTTTTAAAATAGGTAAAGAATTGGCGAAACCATGGCCGATTTTTGATTTATTGCTACCGTTCAAAATTCGGCCACTTCCTGTCTGCGCAGAAGTTTCAAAAATACTTTATCAAGTAACCACCACATCGTTTCCCCAGATCGATATCTGTTTTCGATCATGGAGAAATAGGCTCCCGCGGTAAATAATAATAATTTTAGTAATCTCAATAGATTATGCCCGCCGAGCACTTGAAGTGGGGTACCCTCATTTAAAAACGTGACAAGATTTTTCAGCGTAACGTCAAAACACAGGAAATTAACGTTTTTCAACTTACGTTTATGAAATTAATAAAAAGGACACATATATAAAAATTATATCAAACAAAAGAACAGGATATCGGCTTCCAAAATATTTAAAAATTATTACAAAATATAAAATAACCACCGTATGACGTTAAGTTGAAAAAGGGTTACAAATCGGGGAAAAAATGACTTTCTTCCAACGCGGGCAATGAAGCTGTGACACCTATTTAATGTGCATTGTTTGCATTTGATATAATTTCATCTAGAGTGATACGATTCAAAAAATTCCAATATGTTAGGTATAATGTTCAATAAAAAAATTATTTTGCGAAAAATTATCTTTTTTAAAATATATTTTGGAAGAATATGTATCAATCTTCCCGGAGACAGGGATTTTGTAAGAGGAATTGGAATTTCATAATTCAGATGGGATTGGGAACCTATGGTACACTTTAAAAAAAAACATGCCTTGTGTATTCTCTAGAGGTCACAATTTTTTTTTCTGATTTTAGATATATCACCATTCCACCATAATGGAGTTTGAATTGGAATTTCGAGAAAATCAAAATGAAACTACCCGACATAATGGCTTCTATTTGTACGCAAATTGTGTATAAGATTGTAATACAAAGGTTATGGACCTTCTAGAGGTCACAATTTTTATCCAATTTTGATGAAACTTAAAGCATAATTCCAAAAATCTCAGTCCCTTTTGATATTTGCACATTTCAGACTTTTTGTGTTTAACTTGTTCTCTATCCTTCTCTTGCAAAATGTGGGCGTATCCTGCCTGGAAGCCGCTGGTTCTAATTTCGGGATAGCTTTTTTTTGGACTCTCTAGGAATTTATTCAAGTTTAAGGCCTAGAAGCACAAATGTTAAATGCATTATCTGTATCGCTTTACCCTGTGTTAACTCTTAAACGATCCAGAGGTTTGACGTCATAACGTCATAAAAACCCACGTCATAATGGTCAATAGTATGAAAATATAGATATGCATTTTAAAGTCATATCATTAATAAACAACTGTAGATAGACCCTTCATGTAAATGGATGAAATAATCTAAATTTAATGCCATTTTCATAAATATAAATTTATACAAAAAATTAATTTAGACATTTCATGCAAAATTCATGTTTTTTTCAATTTTTTTGTTCGGCTCTTGTGAACTAAAAATTATTCATCATGAATCTCTTTTAATTTAAGCTTATTTAAAGGAGCTAAGTCGCTAATATTTGGGACCTAGAAATTGACATAAGTGGGTCGCAACGCATACAATAATGTAATATGAATGTATATAAATTGATTTACATTCAATCGTTTCTGTTTTTACTGTAATTTCTAATCAGTTAGGTTCGGCGAAAGACGGCAGTATTCTCAATCGAATTTCAATCTCTAGCGACTGGTTATTCCAGCCTACGCCGATAGTATTTATTGGGCATGCTCTCCAGATAAGAATATAGCGTCACCGTTTGACATGACTTGTGGAATATGCCTAGCCTCGTTTTTTCGAGTCCCTTATTACAAATAGCGCTGAAACGTATTATGGTACACGATTCGTGTACCAATTGTAAAATGTGTATTTTGTCTTAAATATTGGATATCAGAAGGCCATCTTTTCCCGGTACGATCACAACATCAATGTTGATTTAAACCGACAAATAAATCGTGTTTTCAATGTCGAAGATTTTGGATGATATTGAGTTAGAGACTTAGCTACTTTAAGTACCTTAATAGAAATTTGTTGATTAACTAAGCCTACTTCTATCACATTCTAGGCCTAACGCAAAACTGTAAAAATCAACACTACATATAAAATCTGAAACACTGTCATTCAATAAGGATGGTAATCCGTCATTAGGAGAACATTGCCGAATAGGTCTAGACATATCACCGTTTTATTATAATTTTTCAAGGAGAAACATTAGACTTTTAACTGTCAAAATGTCAAACAGGAAGTAAACAAATGAGATAAAGTCGTCTGTTCATAAGGGAAATAACTCTCATTACGCTAGGAACGTTGCATTCGGCTAACCGGTTTTGTCGACAAAAGTCGTCGTGGGTACTTAACGGTAACGTTGTAGGTGTCGACAAAAGCCGCCGTGGGTCAGTTAAGAGTTAATAAGAGGTTTTAGAGTTCATTTCCAAATAGTTTAAGCTGATACTTTCTGACAAAGTATAAAATCATGTTTTGGAATTCACTTGCATAGTTAAAGCCAGAGGAGGTTCTTAGGCCAAGTAGTCTTAAGATTGTGAGATCTGTTAAGTCAACTGGTTTCAATCCAGGCTTATACGTGACAAGCAGTAGGGTCGTCTATGTAACCTAGTCTTATTTCTTCTGGTTATCTAGGTTTCCCACCATTTTTATACTTCCACATTTTCATGTGGACATATATGTTGTCACCCCTGTCCGTCTGTTCATCTGTCCGTTCACAATCGGTTTGTGGACACTCTACAAGGCACAATTTTTATCGAATTTTGATGAAACTTGAAATATAGGTTTATTATATCCCACAGATCTTGGTTCCTTATGATATTGGCATGTATCGGACCGTAACTTCATGAATGGATTATGACCCAAGATTGTACAAAAATTCGTGTTTTTAGCTTGTGGACACTCAAGAAGTCACAATTTTTATCTGATTTTGATGAAACTTGAAATGTATGTTTATACTGTAACCCAAAGATATATGTGTAGTAGGCCTACTTAAATCGAATACGTATCAAAGCGTGACTGCAGTGGCAATACTCAGCACTGATGGCAACAGCTTGTTAATGTTATAAGTGTGTTTATAATTATTTTGAAGGATGTAGAATTTGGTGGTTACATGTTACAACAAAATGTTGGAGGTCATCCTATTGCTGTGTATAGATTTCCACCTCGTACCAAGTTTGCTGGTAATACTACAATAACTGTGTGGTCTGGTATGACTGACCCTATTAAACATCAACCACCAACAGATTACGTATGGAAAGAACAACAGAAATGGGGAACAGGTCCAGAATGTACAACTATACTATGTAAACCTAATGGCCAGGTAATCTTTGATGTATTTTTCACTGTCATGGAATCGGAACCAGGGCATGATGCTGAAGGTTTTTATACGCCCACATTTTCATGTTGACATATTATGCTGTCGCTCCTGTCCATCCACAATTTGTTTGTAGACAATCTAGAGGTCACAATTTTCACCCAAAACTGCCGGACAAAATGGCCGCCCTTTGTACGCAAATAATGTAAAATATGGAATATCAAGGTTGTGGACCCTCTAGAGGTCACAATTTTCATGCGATTTTGATGAAACTTGGAGTGCATGTTTATATCTCAAAGATCTTGGTTTCTTTTGATATTCGCGCATATCGGATCGTAACTTCCTGAATTATGGCCCCTGGTTTTACGAAAAATCACGTTTTTAACTTTTGGTCCCTCTACAAGTTAAGATTTTTATCATTATCCGATTTAACCCTTCCTGAGCTAACCACTTCATACCCATAGAGGGCTATGCAAATATTGAGTAAAAATCAAGCTTTAGACCCTGTTGTGAAAAACCATGCATACCTTGAATATGAATGCGACAACAACTGTAAAATTGCAAATGTATATCCATTATATATGACTTGGGAGTTTTGCATATGTTTAGTTTAGATTTTATGGTTACTATGGTTACCAGTGTGTTTCAAAATGGCTGCCATATTATTGTCATAAATGAAATATTGGATATTTTCTTGTCATTAAAAAATTCAAGATGGTCAGCTATATGGATTATTAACATGATAGATATCTCTTTTGTAAGAATAGTATAGGTTTTTGGGGAAAAGTCACTAAATTGTGATAATAATGTTTTTTTCTAAAAATAATAAAATGTAAACGAGCAGTATTGACAATTTTGCGGTAGGCAACACACATATAAAAATCATCAGTAACAAGTTTTTATTAACAATAAAATAAAAATAAATTAAATATTTGGAAAATAACAATAATGTTTACCGAAATATTCACATTAAGGTTGCCATGGTAACCAATTTGACCATATCGTATACGCACAGTGACACGCGAAATTGACGTTTTTGAAACTTAAGTTTATGAAATTAATAAAATGAACACGTATATAAAAATTATATGAAAAAAAAGAACAAGATATCTCCTTCCAAAATATTTTTAGATTATTGCAAAACATTAAATAGCTACTGTGTGACGTTAAGTTGAAAAAAGGTTACAAATGGGCAAAAAATGCCTTTCTTCATTCATGACGTGTACCGTACCAATTTACACTAAAATTAGGAAATATTTTTGATATAGAGATAATACTTCAAACACCATTATTTTTATTTTTCTAATACTTCAAATAAAATGTTCTACAATTTAATTTGCCAAAGGAAAAAGGTTATATTGCGAGCTAACTAACCCGCACCTCTGTGCCACACACAGGCCTACGGTATAGGCCTATCTATAGTATGATTAATAAAATTAGATGTTGCATTTTATTATCAATTACATGGTATATTAGAACAGTTTTAAAAATCTTGTTTATATTCAAATGTGCATTTTTAAAAATAAATTCAGCTTTGTTTGTATACTTTAGTTGATAAAGATGTAAATATCCCTACAAAATTCTTTTCCAATCTAGGCCTCATTAATAATTTTAGATAATAGCCATTTATTTATTGTAAGAATGCAGACCCCCCCCCCCCCCCCAAAAAAAAAAAAAAATACACATACTTTTTTTTTCAGCTTGCACATCTGGAAAAAAGTTTACTTATATAAATCCACCCCAATGTAAGCAATTATTTCATAGTCTTTTTGATCTAGGCTTTGTTGAGAAATTAAATTAGCTTCGGTAGATATAACAATTATATGTAAGGAAAAAGAAAACACTATTAGTATTAAATAAAAAAGGAATTATTGCTTTAGTTATCAATGAAAAGGAATTTTTGTTCTAAAATAGATGCTTCCAGGAATCCTGTACATTAAAAGATTTACAAGAGTTGATAAAGGCAACTTCATCCTTGGTATCTGATATTTCAATGTTGGCCACACCAATTTGATTTCCTGTTCTTCGGGCTTCGATATAAAAATAAATAGCTAATTAAATCATGTGAAAGATGTTTTGTTTAAAAATTTGGAACTATAAGCTTTTGAACAGAACAGCCAAGTACTTTTGGTGTTTAAATAGATGTATGTATTTTTCCAGAAGAACCAAATAAATAAATATAATGAATGCCAAAACTCTGCAAAAATTGTGTTCATAGTGCTTGACAAAACATACCTACACGAAGTCTTTAGCTGTTTGAAACAGATGAGTATTTAAAAATTGTAAGGCACTACATTTATCTCATCATGTTGTTTATATGAATATATGATTACGGTATCCAATATCATTCATGTCATTAACATTTAACTTGTTTGCATACTTGACAAATTAGCCTATAGATCTAGTCAAATTTTTTTACAGAATTACTTCGTGTAACCGGGGTAAAATATTTACATGCAGTAATTAACAAGACTGTTTTGTTAGGGGTTTTTTTTAAAAAAAATAAAATTAAAACATGTCATCCAAGCGAGAACCAAAATATATTTCTTTATGTCCTAAATTAAAATAATACAATAACAATAGACATAAATTTGAAGGGGAATTATGTAAGATTTAGATAAAGAGCTGGTCATTCTTGCTATTAACTATAACATTTCAAAAATAGATAATGCAAATTGAATATATTGAAAATTTACCACCATACCGTTCTAATCTATTTAAAATCTGAGCAATCAGATGGCATCGAGAGTTGATTATGGTCTTTTCATGTTAATAAATGTCTTATTGATAATTTACATAACATTTAAGGCCCAAAGAAAGACCTGCAATAAGCAGATTTAGCTCTTACATAATGCCTGTTTAACATTTAAAAACGCATCTTTAATTAACAATACTTTTATGATAAATTAATAAATGTATTATTAAATAAAGCGATCAGACAATGTTAATGTTATTTAAATTATAATAAATCATAATTATATAATTTATAGGCACCTTATTAGATTGAAATACCAACTCTTTCTTCCTCAACTGATAAGATTAAATTATTTAAATCACAAAATGCAACAGCCAAATATTATTGTTAAGATTAACTTATTTAATTGAAACAAAAATTGTAGGTTATATTTTTAATGATTAATTTAATTACATGGAACAGTAAACCCATATCCTTACATATCGACCGGCAGCTATTTTTAAATATTAATTTTTCTCCAGAACCGTGTTATGTCCTGAAAAGCCATACATCTTAGCATTGTAACAAAACCAACCTTATCAATATCGGAGCAAAATTGACTGAATTCTGTAACACCAACTGACAGATCCCTTTTTCGCGAAAATTGGTCATTTGGCTTCAATTCTCAATCTATTTAACCATCAACATAACCACACAAACACATTACACATAGCTTGAATGGTTTATTTTCTGATGTTTGAAATACATAAAATTAAATAATTCTGCTTAATTCAACTATACAAAATTAAAATCAATAATGATATAATACAATCAAACAATTTAAACCAAATCCCTTGTTGAGTATTAAAATAAAACAAATAAAATAATGAAAATAATAATACCCCCCCCCCCCCCCCAAAAAAAAAAATGAAATAAAAAAAAATAAAAATATAAATAAATAGATACATAAAATAAAATACTTTATCAATATATTAGTGTCTAGTGTCTCAATATTTATATACCCCCCCCCCCCCACACCCACACACACACACACACAATATGAAAAGAAGTAAATAACATAAATAAAACATACAAATATTTATCAGTATCACAATAAATCAACATGAAATATATTTGCTTCACAAGCTGGCACTCCCCTAGGCCCCTAGGTAGCAAACAAAAGACAGGTAAGCTACCAGGCAGTACAGTTCTGCTGAAAATACAAAAGATTTTTAAAAAATTGTGTAATTAAAAGCTTATATATAGCCAGCACAGCAATGTTATTATTCATACCAAACTGTATTTTATGTATTTACGATTTATTAATGATCTGCAAGTATTATTTTACAAATTAATGAATTGAAAACTCTATTTTGCCGATTTTTAAAAGTAGGTCAAAGCTGTCAAACTTTGCCTTAACTGGGCAACACACGTGTCGAGATTTTCATGAAATGTAATACTTATTTATAATACAATATAATATCAAAATTATAAGATATTCATTTTTATTCTTACCTCGAACATTCCTTCTATTTCTCGTTTCCATTTAACCAGATGATGCCACATTTAAACTACAAGAAAGCACTAAATAAAAATATCGCTACTGGGCCTATAGTAAACAAACAGCGAGAACAGAAGACCGGAAGTGATCAACCACCTTTCTCGCCGTTTCATGCGTTTCGCAACATAACGTCGAGAATTCATGAGTCGGCAATCATACGGTATGATCTATGATTCAGCCGAAGTCTTTTTGTTGTGAAGGACGCCATTCCTCGGGATTAGCTCAGGAAGGTTTAAAAAAACATTTTAGTATATCAGTATCACCGTTACACACTAATGATAGTTTGAGTTCGAATTTCGTTAAAATCAAGTCAAAACTATCAGACTAAATGGCCGCCCCTTGTACGCAAATAGTGTAAACTGCTGAACATCTGGTATATCAAAGTTGTGGACCTCCTAGAGGTCACAGTTTTGATCCAATTTTGATGAAATTGAAATGCATGTTTATGGCCCCTGATTGTACGAAAAATTGCGTTTTTAGCTTGTGGACCCTATAGAGGTCATAATTTTTATCCGATTTAAAAAAACGTATTATTATATCACCGTTACACCCTAAAAACAGCTGAGGTCGAATTTCATGAAAATCGGCCCAAAATTGACAGACAAAATGGCCGCCGTTCGTTCTCAAATAGCGTAAAAATATGGTATATCAATGTTGTGGACCCTATAGAGGTCACAATTTTAGTCTGATTTTGTTGAAACTTGAAATGTAATTTTATAACCCAAAGATCTCGGTTCCTTTCGATATTCGCGCATATCGGACCTTAACTTCCTGAATTATGGTCCCTGATTGTACGAAAAATCGCGTTTTTAGCTTGTGGACCCTATAGAGGTCATAATTTTTATCCGATTTAAAAAACCGTAATATTGTATCACCGTTACACCCTAAGGACGGCTGAGTTCGAATTTTGTGAAAATCGTCCCAAAACTGACAGATAAAATGGCCGTCCTTCTTTCTCAAATAGCGTAAAAATATGGTATATCAAGGTTGTGGACCCTATAGAGGTCACAATTTTTATCCGATTTTGTTGAAACTTGAAATACATGTTTATAACCAACAGATCTTGGTTCACTGTTTGAATGGATAATTACTTATTTAAGGAAATTAGTTCAATGCAAAACACAGTGTTACATTTAATGTGTAGCACACAATTATTATTGATGATAACACCTTTTGAAGTAGTGCACTCATAACATTATATAGGACATTTATTAAGCAGTTTCTGTAACTTATTAACATATAAAAATATTTGTATACAGTTGTAGGGCTAGGTATTATAATCACGCAAGAGTCAATCAATGTCCATATCACACATCTAGGGTTATAATCCCATATTAATTAAGTGGTTTCCATCTACGTGTACATTACGATTAGAGGTTTATATTTCTGCATATGGTTTCATTATAAGATCAAAGGTCACTGTTCTCCTAATTTATGGTTTCATTGAATGTTTTGATTGTACATAGTATATATATTTCACTCCTTCTGTCTGTATCAGTATTGTGCTTGATAACGACAAGAGAATCATTGTTGAAACGTAGCTTTAATTAAATATAGTAATTGTTATCCATAGAACTGTTGTGTTTATTTTAGATCTTGGTTCCTTTCGATATTCGCACATATCGCAACCTAACTTCCTGAATTATGGCCCGATTGTACAAAAAATCGAGTTTTTAGCTTGTGGACCCTATAGAGGTCATAATTTTTATCCGATTTAAAAAAAACTATTATTATGTCACAATCACACCCTAAGGACGACTGAGTTCGAATTTCGTGAAAATTGGCCCAAAATTGACAGACAAAATGGCCGCCGTTCTCAAATAGCGTAAAAATATGGTATATCAAGGTTGTGGACCCTATAGAGGTCACAATTTTGATCCGATTTTGATGAAACTTGAAATACATATTTATACCCCAAAGATTTTGGTTCCTTTCAATATTCGCACATATTGGATCATAACTTCGTGAATTATGGCCCTTGATTGTACGAAAAGTCGCGTTTTTAGGATGCGATCCCTCTAGATGTCACAATTTTTATCCAATTTTAACCATTTTGACGCGGATGACGAGATATCTCACAGAAAATTACGTTGCCGACACGTGGATGACGAGATAACTCGCGAAATTAACATATGAAAACACGCCCCTGAAAGCATTTCATTCTGATTGGCCCGAATAACTTGATTGACTTTAGCGTGTTCCCACTTTGTATATTTTTGTTATTACGGGGTTACAGAGTGCATAGATGGCGATAATTGTCGTTTATTGTGGGTTATTTTTAGCAGTCAGCTGACCGCTCGTAATAAACAATGGCGGCGCCCAGAAGAAAACGAGCCCTTACGGAAAACGAAATACAATACTTGTTTGCAACGTCAGGTTCCTCTTCTTCTGATTCTGACGACAGTATTGATGACATTGATGACAATGTTGATGATAATTCGAGTGGAAGTGAGTTTAAATTGGGTGAAATTGGCGACAGTTCAAGTACCGATGGTGATTTTGACATTCACAACACTGACGTGCCTGACAATAACAATTCGTTGAATTTGAATGCTGTGAATGGAAGGCCTAAAGCAAAACGGAATCGAAATTATGTCAATTATGCTTTCTACAATTAGTGGTGCTTTTTATTTGAATACAATACCATAAATAGCCAAATTTTGACAATTAATGTAAAAGGGCCAATTTTTCCAAAAATAATCCCGCGTAGGGGGTCTGGGCATGACAAAAAAATCCCGCTTCGAACTGGTTAAAAAACGTTTGAATATTAGTAGGGGTCGAACTCCCAGATCCGTGACCAATTTCCGGGGAGGAAGGTTTGACGATTGATTCTGGTAGGGGGGACTGTTCTGAGGATTTGTGCAGTTTGCAACCTCTGGAAAGTGTGGGCAACTCTCAGGAGAGGCAAAAATCCAAGATGGTGGCCAAAATAGCACAGATACTTATAGTTGATTGCAAATGTCATCAAACCGTCCTTGTAATATGTCATTTTTATAGTTTTCAGGGTCGCTGAATCCATTAAGAACACTCCCAATTCATTTTGATGCAAAAATGGTGGAAAAAAAACGGAAAATAATGTCATATATTCTGGTATGGCAAATATGGGCTTGTAATATATCGTTTTTAGGGTTTTCATGGATGCTTAGTTCATTTTTGATGGTCTCATGTCAATGAAATCTACATTAGATGTTAAATATGAAACCAAAGTCAGAGCACAGAAGATACAATAATAATTTCTAAACATTCATAGGTATATACCTTTCACGCGAATCTTTCAAGACGACAGCCTTCAATTGTTCAATCAGAGTCCGTGTCAGAAAGTTCTGAATCTAATGCGCTGTCCGACTCAAATGTGTCACTTACAGAGGTAAGTTGAAAAAGAGAATGTGTGTTCCTGTACGGTATATAAACCAGGCCTTGCCATTTAAGTTCAGATCATCGGTAGACATTGATGATGGTGATGATGAGGAAGACAATGATACCTCTGTCAGTGACACATCTGAGTCAGACGGTGCATTAGATTCGGAACTTTCTGACACGGACTCTGATTGAAGGCTGTCGTCTTGAAAGATTCGTGTGAAAGGTATATGCCTATGAATGTTTAGAAATTATGATATTAGTAGGTGCTATATAAATGACGTATTACGTATATAATGATGTTTTCCGTATCTTTGTATCTTCTGTGCGCTGACTTTTGTTTCATATTTAACATCTAATGTAGATTTCATTGACATGAGACCATCAAAAATGAAATCAGCATCCATGAAAACCCTAAAAACGATATATTACAAGCCCATATTTGCCATACCAGAATATATGACATTATTTTCCGTTTTTTTCCACCATTTTTGCATCAAAATGGCTTGGGAGTGTTCTTAATGGATTCAGCGACCCTGAAAACTATGAAAATGACATATTACAAGGACGGTTTGATGACATTTGCACCCAACTATAAGTATCTGTGCCATCTTGGATTTTTGCCTCTCCTGAGAGTTGCCCACACTTTCCAGAGGTTGCAAACTGCACAAATCCTCAGAACAGTCCCCCCTACCAGAATCAATCGTCAAACCTTCCTCCCCGGAAATTGGTCACGCATCTGGGGAGTTCGACCCCTACTATATATCACTGTTAAACCCTTATGATGGTTGAGTCCGAATTTCGTACAAATCGGACCAAAACTGCTGGACAAAATGGCTGCCCCTCGTACGCAAATATTGTAAATATATGGTATATCAAGGTTTTGGACCCTCTAGAGAGTGGACACAATTTTGATCCGATTTTGATGTAACTTGAAATACATGTTTATAACCCAAAGATCTTGGTTCCTTTCAATATTCATGCATATCGGATTGTAACTTCCTGAATTATGGCCCTTGATTGTACGAAAAAATCACTTCTTTTTTTGAGCTTGTTCTCTGTCCATCTCTTGCAAAATGTGGGCGTATCTTGCATGGCAACCGCTTGTTAATAGAGGTAGCCAGTGTATGTTAATAACCTGCCAATTGCCTACACATGAACATAAACAGATACACTGTCTCTCGCAAAGAGATACAACGTCTCTCGCAAAGAGATACACCGTCAAAAGTGAAAATGGACGTTTTTAATTTTTATCTTAATAGTGAGTAATTGCTCCGCCAATCCTCAGACATTCAGCAATTTGTCGTGGCATGCTCCTAATCAACTGTCTACTCATGATTTGGACCAATCTGACCCTCTCCTCTTGCAGTGACACAACCAATTCTTGCAGTGTTGTCGATCAAATTAAACATAACACACTAAAGCAAAGATACGCTAAACAGTAAATCTTATGCAAGAACTGATAGAAAAACATACATGGATAGATAAACAAGCACTCAGCAGTTTTCATCAACCCTTCCTTGAAGTCAAATTTGACAATGAACCCCTCCCACGTGTATGGCACTATTGCGTGTCACATGTGCAGCTCAGTGGTTCTGTTGGGGCGATTAAGTTCTTCATCTGTGAACATACTCTCAAAGCATATCAAATGTCCATGGCTATTTATCATATCGCAACCTGCATAGGTATTTGCATTTGCATTTTTGAGATTCTTCAAATGTCTTTATTATTACCTTTTTTCAGGCTGTTGCATGGACTACCGCAGCTCATAGATTTACACAAAATAATTATGGAAAAGGTAACGGTCAGCAGACGCCAGAACAAGCTGAATCTTTAGGTAGGTTTTATGAAATGTGAAAAAAACATAAAGATATATTTTATGACAGATCTTTATTAAATGTTATTTTTTTATTTATTTAATTTATTTAAAGGAGTCAAGACTTTAACTCATTATCATCGACAGTCTCAAACATTGCAAACATGACTTATTGGTCAATTTAAATGAATATTGATGTTGTTATCTTACGGAGAAAAGTTGGGTTTCTGATATCCAATATTTAAGACAAGATGAATATTTTAAAATTGGCACACGAATCGTGTGCCAGAATGCTTTCGAGAGCCAGTTGTATGAAGAGACTCAATGAACGAGGCTAAACATATCCATAGAGGAGAAAACTACCGTTGTAGACTAAAATAACTAGATGCCAAAGACTTCCATTTAATTCCAATCTGATTAAAATACAGATCTATATTTTGTTTAGTTTTTTTATACTTTCGATGGCCTACTCTACATGAAGATCTGACCAGTTGTACTGGAAGGTTGCATTAGGGGTCGTACAAGCTGCTTTTGACCCTATGACGTCAGACATTGGTTAATCAATCATCGGACTGTAACTTCATGGATTATGTCCCCTGATTGTACGAAAAATCACGTTTTTAGCTTGTGAACACTGTAGAGGTTGCAATTTTTATCTGATTTTTTTAAAACTTGAAATATATGTTTATAACCCACAGACCTGAGTTCCTTTCGATATTTGTGCATATCGGACCATAACTTCCTGAATTATGGCCCCTGATTGTACGAAAAATCGTGTTTTTAGCTTGTGGACCCTATACTATATAGAGGTCACAATTTTTATCTGATTTTAAAAAAAAACGTTTGTATATATCACCGTTTCACCCTAAGGATAGTTGAGTTTAAATTTCGTAAAAATCGGACTGAAACTGACAGACAAAATGGCTGTCCCTCATTCGCAAATAGTGTCAAAATATTGTGTATCAGGGTTGTCGACCCTCTGGAGGTCACAATTTTCATCTGATTTTGATGAAACTTGAAATGCATGTTTATAATCCAAATATCTTGGTTCCTTTTCATTTTCGTACATATTGAATCGTAACTTCCTGAATTATGGCCCCTGATTGTACGTAAAATCGCGTCTTATAGTCCATGTGACAGACAGATTTTCATTACCAATTTGATGAATAAATTTAACCATGATTTTCAGTTAGCCTTAGGTCTAAAGTGTCCAAAATTGGTTGATGGACATCCGGGTCACTTTGCCAAATATGAGTTTGGCAGCCATCTTTAAAAATGGCCGACATTTTTTTATTTGAAATAGTGTAAGTCAGGGAAACCTCCACAACTCCCCAACAGGTTCACCTACGGATATGTAATATGGCTCAAAATGTTCATAATACAATTCTAAATCTGCTGGTATATGATTCATGTTGTTTAATCAATGCTTTCGGTTTCAAAATAAAAGATTAATCTGAAAACAGCAATATTTTCGGTTTTTTTTCATGATGTCTGTTCATAAGTTTACTAAAAAAAATCTTGTTCAGACCCATATAAGCCAAATTATCTATTTGGTCAACTAAAGTGATTTACTAGATATCAGAAACATTGATCATAAAAAAATAATCTCTAATATGAGTGCCCCAAATCCAAGATGGCAGAAATTCAAAATGGCGGCCAAAAGTTGCTCAAATGGCCAATTTGTCAGATAATAGTTATTTCACAGTTTGATATTACATGTAATATCCAATTGAATGGGATTACTGAACTTAAAATGAACCAAAACACAGAGTGTTGAATATTCAAAAAGGCGGCCAGAATTTCCATAAAATGATCGATTTTCTGTTTGATGTAGCTTGTAAATGTCTTTTATAAGCAAATAACACACTATTTATGGATAACAATTACTATAGTTTATTTCACTGCGACGTTTCAACAAGATTTCACAAGTCGTTATCATGTTTTTACTGTTATGGCCTATTGCTCGTGGTTCATTATACCGCTTAAATAATTGTTTGATCTTTTATTCTTGTGCTTATCTATACCAATTACAGTTTATACCTGTCTATGTGCATTTGTTTATCTAACGGCTTGGGACAGTTGCCCATACTAGCTGATTTTGCATCCCATTGGAGGGTCCACACTGCTCTTGTATATATATATATATATATATATAACCATATTCTTTTCATTTTATTGTCCCCCGCCTTTCGAAGAAAGCAGAGGACTATTAAAATGGGTTCATCTGTCCGTCCGTCACACTTTTTGCGACACAATAACTCTCTTTCTAATTGAGCTAGAATGTTCAAACTTGGTGTAGGTGTTTATTAGGCCAATGCCTTGATGGAGTTCGAAGATGAGAATTTTTTGCTTAGGGTAATCAGAGATAAGCAATTTAATTGGTTGATGTTTTGGGACACGATAGTACTTTAGTTCTAATTAAGTGAGAGTGATAAAACTTGGTGTATAGTTTCATTACATCAATACCTTGACTAAGTTTGATAATGAGAATTTTCTGCTCAGGGTAAGCAGAACGATAAGCAATTTGATTGGCCGAGACTTTAGAACTCAATAACTCTCATTCTAATTGAGGTAGAATGTTCAAACTGGGTGTAGGCATTCATTAGGTGAATGTCTTGATGGAGTTCGATGACGAACATTGTCTGTTTAGGGTAAACAGAGATAAGCTATCTCATTGGTTGATGCTTTGGGGCACGATAACTTTGGTTATAATGAAGTCAGGACGATATTAGCTTGACTAAGTTCGATCGTGAGAATTTTCTGCTTAGGCTAAAGAGCGATAAGCAATTTGATTGGTCAAGACTTTGGAACACAATAACTCTGCTTTTAATTGGGGTAGAATGCTGAAACTTGATGTAAATGTTCATTAGGTGAATGTCTTGACTCAGGGCTAAAGCTAAGCAGAGCTAAGCAATTTCATTGATCGATGCTTTGAGACAAGATAACTTTGATTCTATCTGATAGAGAGTGATGAAACTTAGTGTATAGTTGATAATCAGTTTGATTGCTCGATACTTTTGAAAAAAATAAATGTGCGATTAATTAATATTGGTCATCTATTTATTTAGGGATTTGGACGGGGGACATCAGCCTCACTGTTGGCTTGTTTCTTAATGTTATATGCTTGATAAGGACTCGTGAAATCTTGTTGAAACGTCGCAGTGAAATAAACTATAGAAATTGTTATCCGTAAATAGTGTGTTATTTGATTATGCTTCAATTACTAAATGCCTGACCCATGACCCACCTACAATGCCCAACTAGTCTTATGCGGGACATATTGTGATCAATGGCCAACTGAATGCAGGCGCTGATTGGACCATGCGATCGCCCGAAGGGCCGGTTGGACAAAAAATGAAAAAAATAATTTTGTCCAATTCGTCTAAAAAACTGGCCATGGAGCGACGATGATCATGTTGTATGTGGCCGGTGGCCTTAACGGACCGCCACGCCATCACTGGAGTCTGGAATGGGCTGGTATAATAGACTTTCTGGGCCGGGTGTGCTGGGCGTGGGCCGGAATTCAGAATCATGCAATGGGGATTTCGAATCCCATCACAGGAGGAATCAACTAGCGCTCCCGGCAACAAAAATGGGACATTTTGCAATGAAAATATTCCTACTTTACTTATTCAATATTCCTAACTGGTTAATCAAATGGTCAAAATTTTTTCAACTAGTCCCATTTTTTAATCAGTTAAATTCTCTTGACTCCGACGATAAAATGATAATACGTTAATTAATAATATGACGATATGATAATTTCACAGGTTGATGGTTGTAAATTGCTTGTAGATCGGGCTTTTGGCCTAAATTAATCGATTTATAAAATATATTATTTGACAAAGATTATAATCAGATATGCCACAAAATCGCATATTTGGGGTTCAATTCATTTTTCAAATTTTTCCAGCGGGAGAGCCCCCGGAACCCCCGTCCGTGCTCCGCGGTCAGTAAAAGGGGCAGCTCCGACACAGGAGCCCGGGTCAGTTCCCGGCCCCAATCCGCCCCTGACTGAAAGTGTACCACTATATTTATGTCTGATCTTGCTTGACCCATTACCCACCTAAGAGTGTCCATAATTTTAATGCGTAACCTACAGTTCCCCCCATTTTTATGCATGGTCTAGTCTGACCCACCTAGCAATTTTTATGTGTGGCTTAGGTTTTTTTTTGGTAATTAGTGTTGTTTTTTCGTTATTTATTGATTTTTCGATATTTTGGGTTTTTCGAATTTTTTCGGTAATTAGTATCAAAAAGTTTTTTCGGTATTGATCACTTTTTCCGTATTTTGTCTGCATTTTTCGGTACTTTTCAGATTTTTATCTCGGTACTTTTCGCATTTTTTCGTTATATGGTACAACTGGACCGGTTTTTCATCAAAGACTCTATGACTGGCAACTTTTGTGGTATAGTCTAGATATCGTATCGACAGATCCATTTCACAACAAGTTGAAAATTTAAAAAGAATCTTGCGAAGATAATTTGAAATGCATTTACGACTAGGCATCACAAAAATAATGTCGACCAATTTCCTCTTTCGCTTTAGGCAGGCCTATGATATTAAAATGATATCATCATTGTCGCTGCCGAGATCTCCTGTTTCTACTTGTACTTTGGCTAGTGTACATTGCTGAAGAAAAACAGTAGTTGCGATTGTCACAGTAATTCCAATGAGGTGGATGGTTGTGACATTAACAAAGAGGAAATCGTGAGCCATGGCTTTTGGGATACCTAGTCGTAAATGTATTTCAAATTATCTCTGTAATTATCATTTTTAAACTTAGAACTTGTTGTGAAATACACTTTACACTTTCACAATTTACAAATATGAATCCATGATACCATCTGTCTAGATTCTAGATGATACCACAAAAGGTTGTCAGACTCTTCAAAGTAAAAATCTATCACATTACGATTTGTGGACCAGAAATGAAATGCAATGTGGGTTAACGTCCTACTGTTCTAACTTGGTCAATGAAGATGGCTATTTGTCATACAGTGTGAAATGAGGAAAAATTT